AGGTCAAAAATTGACTAACATGAAGAACATGGTTGCAGTCTGGGAAATATAAACATGTTGGTCCACAGTTTCAGAAAAATGGACATAACTCATTCTATACACAACATATTGACATGTTTCTAGCATCATTAGAAAGCCAAGAGGTAGCCCTACAACTTTTATTTAAAACACAACAATAGATGAGGTTATTAAGATAGTGTAAAAGCGGTTAACATTAGGGATTAATTTTCTGCCAGAAAGTTCAAACCATCTCATGCCCAACATCAATCAATTTGACATAACTAGAGTTACAGGCAAGCTTTTAATGAGATTCAAAAACCAAAAATGCAGCCAACACAATTATCTGTAGCTTTACTGAAGACCCTTTTGGCAAATAATGATGTAATCAAAAAGTTTAAACACAAAATACTCAATTTATAAAAACTGCCTGAAACCCTAGTTACGTTCAAACAACTTTAGACGCCGTAAGATTATATGAGTCCGGGCAATCCGGACGGTTTGGGAGTTTCAGTTCGGAACATCAATTTGAGCGTGAACTGAGAATCCAGTTTTTCCGAACCAGTAAGATTAGATCCAGTCAGATTTAAGTCCAGTTTGAATGTAGTCTAGATTAAGAAATATTTCAGAGAACTCTAGTATGCATTAAAGACAATAAATTTTCAAAAACAACTCCTATATTTCTAAAATGAGTTTTAAAATGATTTTAAAACTGAGTGAACGAACCTAGTCAGAACAAATAATAAAATTTGAATTTTCATATTGAGACCAATACTTAGAATATTTCGCTCCATATTTTTATAGCTTGAGGAGCATCGAGCTTCCACTTGCTACCAGGTAGTTCAACATTTTTGCATTAGCCAGCATCCAAGTGGGGACCCTGTACTAGGTAACTCATTGATTATAATAGCTTATACTGCATGTGGTATGTGTGTAAGTAGATTGATGGACCGAGTTGGAGGAGTGATCCCGTCTTGGTCAAGAACACTAGTTATGACTTGAATGTGTTGTTGGGTTCTATGAGGAACGTCAAACAACATGCCCAGTATTGAACTTATCCAAATATATCCTAATGCAGCGGAATCTATAGTTAAGATGTGGACATTACCTTTTAAAATTTTTGCCGACTTAGATATGATGTAGAATACCGTTGATGTAGTTCGTCTGAACACCACAATCTAATGTGCAGGTAGATTTGGCCTTTACTCGATTCTAATCGAGAAATCAAGCGAACACGGTTGCTAGGTCTCGGCGTCGGGTGCAGCAGCTCGGTCACGGGCGTTGGTTGCGTGCGCTGGCAACTGGTGCGCGTAGGGCGCTGGGCAGCATGCAAGTGATGCGCATCGGGCGCTTGCGTGACGCGCGTATTGCTGGGAAACACGGATAGGCGCTGGGGCGCGCTGGAGCGTGTTGCGCGTCTTGCTGGCGCTACTCCTATGCCGAGGTGGACGGGCGCTGGGGACTGTGCATACGCGGGCATGCTCGGATTGTGCGCGGCATTGCAGTCGCGCGCACTGGGAACTCGCGCGATCGGCAGGCTCAAATGAATGGCGTCGCACGAACAGACAAGAGGACCTGGGCTATCGCGCGGTGTTGCTGGGTGTCGCTGGTAAGGCCTGGCTGTCGCGGCTGCGCTCGGCTGGGCTCGGGCAGCTTCCGGCGACAACAGGCGAGAAAGGAGATTTTCGACGATCCTCTGCAGCGGCGGATGGCGGCGTGTGGCAGAGGAAGATGACCGGAAAAATATATGTAGAAAGGCTCGAATATATTGTACCCAAAAGTCTTCTAACGGATTACCTAAACACCTACTTTGATTAATCTTGGTGGAGCGATTAATCGAATCTCCCTAACTCTTGAACAAAACTCTTTCTCTCGTGTATGTAGGAGAAAAATCGGCCAACACAAGTTATGAGCAAGAGCTTGGTACATGGTGTATTTATAGGCCCCATTAGGGACCTTTAGGAGGTGCTAAATATGGGTTTATCCCATTAGACCAAGGAATCCTAATTCTACTCCACCTACTAATCTAATCTAGAATAGAATTCTCCCACTACTCATCACCTTCTAGAAGACTCCCAAGTCTCCTAACCTTAGACAAGATTCTAGTAGGAATATTCCTTTCCTTATGGAATAATAAATATGGAGTAAAATTAATTCCTTATTAATTGGAATTAAATAATAAAACATTCCACTAGAGTAATACTATTGCTCTCCCCATTTAGCTCCTAATTTATCAACAAATTCGAACCTCCATGATTAAATAATATTAATCTGATTGATCGATTTACCTCCCTATGTTTAAGATATAACGTCAGTTGATTAATTAAATTACTGGCAAAATAATTAATCAACTTCTTATTCATTTCCGAAATTAGTACCACTCAGATCATTAACCATTATGTCAGACAATCGTCTACCTGCATGGTTTAACATAATGTACCTTCCTGAACTCATTTCGGGGTCGTCATCAATCCAACGCACGGGAACATAGTGACCATAAATAACTTATAATAGCATATCATATAATCATTCTCATTTACCAAAATACCTCGTATGGCATCCTAATAAAAATAGGAATCACTTGGTAAATCAAATAAACAAGAAGTGAATATATATGCCTATTTTATATTATCTTACAGCTTAAGAGAACGCATCAATCAACAAAGGTCTAGATTGGCATCCTAATAAAAATAGGAATCACTTGGTAAATCAAATAAACAAGAAGTGAATATATATGCCTATTTTATATTATCTTACAGCTTAAGAGAACGCATCAATCAACAAAGGTCTAGATTACAATAACGATCAGTGAGTCTCATAATCTTATCCTTCCGCGGTCCTGTTCAACACTTATCATAAGTGCTAGTGTAATTCTTCAGTCAAAGACCAACTGAATCAAGAATACACTACCGTCTTTTTCCAAGAGCGGTCTCACTGCCTGTCTAGACTGTGAACGAATAATTGAGTCTTATAAGGAACTGATAGGTGATCTTTCTATTCGAAACACTTCAAACCACACTATTTCAATATAAGACAAGGAGTATGATTTGCATAAATATATAAACTGCAAACATATGTACTTTTACTGAAACATGATGGCCAGAATAGAATCGATAGAATTTGCAAAACGTAGCTTTTACAGCATATCTCTAACATGTGTGGGCCCGATGCCTAGCCTAAGTCACGCGCCCTGATGTGTGGGTCCGATGCCTAGCCTGGATTTATGTGGGACGGGACCCCCAGAATGTGCACATGAGTACTGGTTTACCGTTAGTCCCCAGTTAGCCGATTTATTTGTGCATATTCCCATTTAATGATTTGCTATTTAATGTGATGAATATTCAGTGTCGGTTCCGGCGAAGCATGTGGATTATTTATGCTCACGCCCTTCAGTAACCATTTTTCAGGTGAAGGAGTCCCGCGTGGCACGTAAGCTGATATGTGGTGGTGGTCATGAGCAATGATATTTTATATAATATATCATATATCATTTGAACATGTTGGGATTATTATGCTTTGTTTGTTCCCTGCTCGTGTCGTTGGAACTTGTACTTGCTTCCATATTCACAACCGTATTTCAGAATTCAGAATATCAGTTTATGCATGTCTAATTCCAATATCTTTCATGGTGCCTATTAGGGTAATGAATTTTACTTGGCTGCATGCATAGTAGTAAAAGAAAAAGAAATCAAATTTAAGTTTAATAGCATCATGCAAATTAAAGTTAAAGTATTTTCAAAAAATTAATAAGAGTTTTTGAAAATTAATTCAGTACTTTCCAATTATAGCGCAAAAAATTTATTAGATTTTAGTAAGTTTAAGCGTGGTGTTACTGTGTGCTTTAAGTATCTTTGCAAGTAATGTTGATCAATTTAGTTAATCTCCAAATAAATACTAATTACGTAAATAAAAATGATAACTTAGTACGCGACATAATTTTCTCAGAAGTCTTCAAGCATATATATTCAGTTAAGTTCACTTCAATTCACATTTGGTATTTACCGAATGATATATCCACAATATCAAAACAGAACCAGAATGGAGCAAGTAATAAAAAATCGGTTCAGTTCAATTTTTCCCTATGTTAGCTCATTTGGAATTGCGTTTCATAAAACATGTCGACACTTTACATCCCTTCCCTTCTGTGCCTTTGCACCTTGTCTGCCTTTGCAGTTGATCAACTTTTAGAAACCCAAGAGAGGCGAAAAGACCCGTCCGACACAAATTGTGCTAAAATTCGAAAAGTAACATACTTTCCCATAAAACAATAATAACTCCATGCTGGTCAATTGGGTTCTTGGAGCCCTTTCCGGTAATCGATCCACTTAGGTTGGTATTACCGGATTCTAACAGTGACAACGGCAATCAAATAGTTAAAGAACCATCTTCATATTATAAACATGTTTTCGCAATTGTAAGTAGTTGTTTTAAGTTGTTGAATGACTTAATTGTAACTATGGAGCTTCATGATGAGAAGTTGTATTCATTACTTGCATAACTAAAATTTAAAATCCCAGAGAGAGTCCTTTTTTACCTAATGCAGCAAAAAATGCACGTTAGTTATTCAAAATATAACTAAGTTGAGAATTTACTTAAACAAGATAGACTGCCTTCAAGTGCAAAGTACTACCAGTATTGCCACTCTTAAATTAGACCAGTAAAGTTGAATAACCGGGTGGCTAACAGCAGACGAGCAATCAATCATACAAAAATTACAGAAACTTTTATCCATTATAATGTCACAAAAAAAATTAGGCCAACAGTTTTCAATCTTATATGGTTCAGGTGAAGTCAAAACAAAATTAAACGGCATGAAGCAGGGGCGCCTAAACTAAGCAGGTACTTCATTCAGCTGGAAACAACTAAAATCTTCTAGACTTGATTGACTGAATATCGATTTATCTTGATAAAACAAAATATGAAAGGACAGGACCATGAAATGTGAAAATGAAAGACGAACGACCTCTAGAAAGGGAAGCACAACCGCCACGGATTTGAGAATCTCAAGACTCAGATGTAGTAGCAGCTTGTCTTTGTCTACGTTGATGTACATCCCAGTTATACACACGAGCAATAGTAACCTGTGATCAAACCCCACTCTCAAAGGATAAATATAAAATACAAGCTAACAATATGACATGAAGGATCAAAAGTAATTAGTACATCTCGATTGGAGAAAGTAGGAGCGGAAAAATCAAAACGGATATAGGATGTTTACCCAACTGAATGCTAATATTTATTTCAATAGCGTGAAAATGTGTGCTAATACATCACACATGGCCCAGCTCAATATTAAGTGAGTTGGTTTTTTCTCCACGTATGCCTCCAAAAGGTGCTTAAAAGAATGATGGCATCACATTACCTGAGTAACATTTACTTGGTCCCTTAAAAACTGTAAATCGGCAACAAGAACTTCTAAACTTGCTCTAGCATTCTCTAGATTCTTTTGAAGAAGGGTAGTTGCCTGGAGAATGAAGTTTTTGCAAGGTCCCAAGGATCAAAGGAACAAATTGAAAGAAAAGTCAGAAGTCGAGGAGTTCCAAAACGAACAATAAACCATACCTCTTCACATGAATATTCGAGCATAACATTTGCCCCAAGCCACAGACAAACAGACTCCGCATCTTCAACCCGTGCCCGAGAGTAGATGCCCTCTGACACTTCAAAATCAGCAATGACTGCCTGCAAACCAACATCATGGAATAGTATACAGAGATATTTAATTCAATACCACCACAAAAAGAAAGAAAAATGCACAAACTAGAACAGTCCTTGGTGAAATTACAAGAAAAACTTAGGAAGAGACTTGAAAAGGGGTTAGTAAAGCATGCTATGGTGCAAAATGCACTTCTAACATATGGCTGGTTTTTTTTTTTTTAATGGAACTTTTCATTTAAGAAAAAGAAAAAATAAAATCATCTATAATTTGCAATAGACGCAGGAATTGAGTTAATATCTGAAACGGCATACTTTACAAGCACGTTGTAAACACTGGAATTGGTATAGCAAGAACTCAACATGAAAACTTTAAGGAAAACTTATGTCACAATCTTAATATAATAGTATATTCATCTCAGCCACGCTTGTCAAATGATATGCCAGATATAAAAAATTCAATCAAGGACAAAGCCAAATAGGCGAGCACAACGCTGCATCGAAGAATTTTTAGGTTAAAGAACGAACCTCACCAGTGCCCTTCTTTGCTTGCAAAGTTGCAACGACATCTAAGCACTTCTCAATATCAGGAATTTTTGCCTGTTGTCGAAGTCATCCAGAAAATGTGGGTCAGATTTCACATCGCAAGAATTTTATAATTTCCTAGAAATTAAACTTATAGGCTCAAGGGTATATAAAATGCTAGTTTTCAGACGAGTCAATTCAATTCATACACATAGTAACAGATGGGTTAAAATAGAATAAGTAATGAACACAAAACCTCAACCCAAGAGAACACAAACATCCTGACACATCCAAGAACATACGTATTAATTGTTTAATATTTGTATTGTTATATGTTTAATTTAAGCAGTTCTATTTTTACGACTACTGTGCTTTTATGCACTATTTTTTCAGCATTTTGGAGAATTTTCTGGTGCGACACTACATTGCACGAGTTCCAGGAGGCTCGAAATTGAGCACCCCCATGTAGCCCAATCACGGTCCAATGTGGAGCCTTGACCATAAAGAGACCACATATCGAATAGTGTTGTTAGACCGAAACCCCAAGGCCCACAATTCATTTGACCAATTGGGCTGCTATTATGATTGTGTAAGAGGGGCTTACAAATGGCTACGAATAAAAGGAGAGTATTCAGTTTCTCATAGAATAGTTGAAGAAGCCAACAGCCGAGCAGCAAACAGAAAGGAAAGAAGCCATGAGCAAAGACTAGCAATCATTTACTTTAGTTAGCAAAAAAAGAAAGAAACAATATCAAAACTTTGAAAAAAACCATAATACCTGAAGATCCTTCTGCTGCGCCAGAAGTTTCATCTCCACCACTCTGTATTGCTGAAGTCTGTCGAACATTGACAATATAAAGTTACACGGAAATGTATAAACAAAACTAGATAGACGTAACTAAAAAACTAACACTTTTTGTTACTTTCTTAGTGCACCCAAAACAATGGGCTACTACAACCAAACTGTCTATACTCTCTCACATTACACTTAGTATCAACAAGTCTATGAACCACATGGGCAAGTGCCAAGATGTAGTATAGCTTTGGACCTTTCTCAGTAAGCACACAACATCAGCAGAACTAAGAAATAAGAATTACACATAAATTATGCATCAGCGCGTCTCCAACTTAACAATAAAAATAGATAACAATTTCCCCATCACATTACCTCACAAAACAAGAATGAAAAAAAAAAAAAAA